ACTTTTACCCAACTTTGAAATACTCCTGGACTTCCAAATGATAATACAAGTGTCAAAAATTGAAAAAAGTCTCTTAAGATTTCAAATATAGTCATTTTATCTGGTGAAGTTTGAGTTCCAATATACCCTTCCACAGCAAGTATACCATCAACTGCTGCATCTAACCAATCATTTCGTCTACCTTGTATCATCTCAATTCCAAGAAATTTTGAAGGTTTTTTAAGCATATTAGACTCAAGATCTTCCAGAGAAACTTCTTCTGGGATCTGATTCATCGGTGGAAACATTAATTCACCACTTTTATCAGGTTTAGAAAATTTTATAAATTTTTCATATTCTTCTAAAGTCATTAAATCTTTAGGATCTGAAAATTCTGTTTGTGGTAAACTTTTTATATATTCATCTAAGTGAGGTAAATGTATCCATGGTGATCCAGGTTTAAATAATTCACTAGATTCAGATTCATCATATAAATTAATACTGAATTTTGTCACTCTTGATGGATTTAAATCTGCATCTTGTTTAAATGTCATATCAATATCTACATCTTTTTTTCTAACTGAATCTTTTATTACTGAATTAACTCGTGTGAAATCTGGTACGGTCACATTATTTCTTTTGAAAGCTTTGTTGAATTTATTATGTCTAACACGTGCTGTAAGGTCTGGCATTGAACGATTATATTTTCTATATTCAACAGATGCAAGATTATGTGGCACCATAAATGACATTTTACTTTTGGATGATGTATATTCGGGTAAATTATGATCTCCGGAACCTTTCACTTTCGTTTTAATATGTTTAAGGAAAGGATTTTTCTTTAGTGTACTATTTGGTGATAATGTATCTCGTTTTGGTCGTATAGAAGAATAAGGTGATTTCGGAATTTGTACAGGTTTTAATGTTCGTCGTTTTGTTCTTCCTGTAGCTACTGATTTTAAATCATCAGATGATGTATATGTATGAAAACTTCCAGAATTTCGAAGTGTAATTGTTAATGAATTTGGTAATTTGTTTGATTTGTTTGTCAATTTTGATTTCTTGGAACTTGAAGAAGAATAAGTTGGTAAAGGTTTTCTTAATATACTATATGATTTTACGGGTAATTCTCTTTTATTACTATTCTCTGAATTTGTATTATCATTTGTCGAATGTGTTTCTTGCATTTCCATTACATAAGTAGAGCTATCTTGAACTGATAGTAACGACTTCTTTTTATTACCTGACTTTTGTCCAACTACTTTATACAAGAATGGGTTTTTGGATTTTCTCATTTCAAATTGTTGATTAAAATTAACATTTTCTGTTAATTTGGACGAATCAAGATCTAATTTAAACCTATTAGATGATGTAGGTAGTGATTCATCCTGAAGTTTCCAAGAATCCGTATCATTAGACAAAGTTATATTCAAAGTTGGTAATACATGTGTATTTGATGTTGGGTCAGATAACGTACGTTTTAATGTAGATTCTTCAATGTCTGATGAACGCTGAACTTTTGATAAAGGGTCAAGTTCTGGCATATCAAACTTTGAAGGTGATATTTGAGAACCTTCGTTCCCATTTTTTGTGGTATATATAGGAATATTCTTTTTAAGTGGAGGTATTGTCATTGATTCCCTTTTAGATTGAACAGGAATTGTTTTTCTCCTGTGTGAAGTTAAAGCGATTGATGAAAATGTAGTAGATGATTGAATATTTTCTTTCGGTAAGTTAGGTAATTTCTTTTCAAATGATGATTCAGGTAAATCTTTAACAAAGAAGGATCTTGTTGGAGAAATTGGCGTAGCATCTGATAATGAATCATTAATAAATAGTTTAACAGGAAGGGTAGGAGAAGAGTTATCATATGAAACTGTAGCGGTAGTGATTTCCTTTATGGGTGAAGTATGCGTTGTTTCAGGAAATGTTTGTTGTATTGGTTTCTGCGGCATCAGAGTTGTTATTGGTGGCGGACTTGAAATATGATGACTTTTTTTGACCGCCTTTATCGGTGACGACATATTAAGTGGTTCTGTTAGCATATTTGGTATTACTACACTTAAAGCTGGTTCT